GTGGTGGTGCTGGAGGAGGAACAGTAGGTGGGGAAGCCTCAAGTATGGGAGTAGCCAGTAGGGATGTGGCAGTATAGATTAGTAAGTCATCGTCCTCCCCTTAATATGTATAGGTAGATGAAGTAGGAAAAAAAAAGAGTGTTTTCTAAGAAAGTAACATCAGGTGACATCAGATATCTATTAAGACTAGGACAATAACATTGATATCCCTTCTAAAGGTGAGAGTAACCTAGAAAAACACATTTAAGAGATTTGGGATCTAACTTGGTTACTTGGGGTCGAACATCATGAACAAAACAAGTACTACCAAATATCTTTGGGGCAATAGGAAACAAAGGCTTAGACAGGAAGAGAACACTGTAAGGAGTAGAACGATTCAGAATAGATGAAGGCATGCTGTTAATTAGAAAATAGGCTGTGGAAACTGCATCGGCCCAAAACTGTTTAGGAACTTGCATTTGAAATAATAGGACTCGAGCAGTTTCAAGAAGGTGCCTATTTTTCCTCTCGGTTACTCCATTTCGGGACAGTGTGTCAACACAAGAGGATTGATGAAGAATGCCATGCTGGCTCATATAAGACTGAAAAGAACTCGAAAAATATTCTTTGGCATTATCGCTTCTTAATGTCTAGACAGAAGTATTAAATTGAGTTTTAACTTCAGCACAAAAATGAGAAAACAACTCAGAACGATTTTTCATTAAATAAAGCCAAGTTGCACGAGAGTTGTCATCAATAAAGGTAACAAAATATTTAACTCCAGGTTTAGACATAATAGAACATGGACCCCAAACATCTGAATGAACTAATTCAAATGGGACACTAGCCCGTTTATTGACTCTTGGACTTGAAGAAAGACGCTGGTGTTTGGCAAATTGACATGACTTACAATCTAACGAAGATAATTTATTAAACTGAGGACATAATTTCTTTAACAATGGTAAAAAAAAGGATGTCCTAACCGACAATGGGCCTCAAAAGGGGTCGAAATACTGGAACATGCAATGGTTCTGGGCACCTGTGTGTCAAGGATGTAAAGCCCTCCAGATTTATGTCCTTTACCAATAATCTGCCTCGTCGTAAGATCCTGAAACAGGCAACGATCAGGGAAAAATGAGATGCAACATTTAAGAGCACGAGTGAGTTTACTCACAAAAATTAAATTAAAAGCGAACTGTGGTAGACTCAATACAGATGATAGGGAAATTAACGGAGTAGGGTTAACAGACGCAGACCAAGAACAGAAGAAGTTGACCCATCAACTAAAGTAACATTAGACGAGGAAATATGTGACTGATATGATGAAAAGAGACTAGGATTACCTATCATATGATATGTGGCACTAGAATCAATGACCCATTTGGAGGATGAGGAAATATGACATGTATTTGGTTTACTTGACTCAACGAGAGTAGTGATGGAAGTAGATGAGGACTTTAATGATTTTTGATATTGAGAAAACTTGGCAAACTCATTAGCTGAAATCATAACCTTCTTCTCAGAAGTATCAATAACGGCGACATGAGCTGACTGAGGTTTCTAGGCCTTATTTTGCAACCTTTTGCACGTGCGCTTTGTATGACCGGGTTCATGACAATAGTAGCACATAATCCTTCCTAACTCCTGACTCCAATTCTCACGATAATTCAAACCCCTTCCTCTATTATTGCTCCTGTTATATGAATGTCTGGTGTTATGATTATGACTTACAAGAGCACTACTTGATTGAACAGATGGAGTGCTTTCTGTATGAAGAACCCTAATAAATATGTCTTGGAGGAGGTGATCTCAGAACTAGCAAGAACCTGAGATTTAGCAGATTCAAACTCAGAAGGGAGTCCAGTTAGGAAACTCATAATCGCCATTTTCTCTCGTTGAGCTTGTTGAACTTTTACATCAGCACTCACCGATAGAAGAATGTTAAGTTCTTCATATATCCTTTTAAAATCCATAAAATAGGCCGTAAGAGACCTCTCTTGTTTCTCAGCTCGATAAAAAGCTTTGCATACATAAAAAATACGAGAAATATTCCCTTTCCCAGAATACAAAAAATCTAGATAGTCCAATTCCTTCACATATTCACAATGATTAATTAAACCAAGTGACTCACTGTTGATGGAGTTCCGTATCTGCAAGAACAACCAGACATCCTCTCTCAACCATGTTTGCTTTGAATCATCTTCAAACGAATCTTTGGTGAGATGATCATCTTTACCAATGCTTCGCAAATAAAGACGAATTTTCTTACTCCAATCAAAATAGTTATCAAATCCATTAAGCTTATGTTCCGTAATTTTTGACATTACAGGAACCATATCAATTATAGACTTATCAGTCATGGTAAGAAGACGAAAATAGCCAACAAAAACTCTTCAAAGAACAAACTCTACACCAACAGAAACCAACAAAACTGTTCTGACCTGGATGAGATACTGAGGAACTAATCACACAGAATTGCTGGAAATAACAAGATGAAGCTGGGAAGGGTGATCAGAGTTCAGGGAAGAGTCGATCGGCAGAAGAGGCTTCTTCCTAGGCAGGCGGTGAGAAAAAACAGCCACTCTCCAGGGTGACTCACAAATAATGCTCACTTGAGCAAAAAAGAAAAAAAAACGAATTGAAAAGAAAACAACGAATTGCTCTGATACCATGATACAAACAGAGAACTGATTGTAATATTTTTCATATTGTATTGACAAATTATACATCAATATATATAGGAAAATAAAGAACTAATCTAGGAAATAAATAATCTAATCTACGAAATAAATATTCTAACTTCCTATTTTACAGATTTGTTCCTAATATGTATTGATTACAATCCTAATATCCTATTATAGATTTATACACTTAATCATGCAATATCTATAAGATTTTGCATGATTATCTACAACAGGATGCTTAAAGCGAATCCTACATCCACTGTTTTCTTTTATGAGAGTGTTCTTGGTGATTAGCCAAGACTACAAGAGGTCGCTAACTGCGAACTGGGCTACAGGTGCTTGGTGTTCTTAGAGAATATTAAGCTACTCTTTTTCTTGTAGTGTGTCTTTGTTATTTGCTTTGTTAACTTCAGAGTGTCTAATCCCGATTTTGTGAGGGAGAGCTGCCTATTTATATCTGCTAAGCTCAAGGTAATGATTACATTTTTGCTAGTGGGTAGGTGCCGTGCAAACCTCTCCTAACATCTCATTGGCTGAAAACTTAAGAGATATCCTTAAATTAAAAGGGGCTTGGACAGTTTTGCAAACCAGATTCATTCACAAACAAAAATTGAGTCGGCTGGGTTGATGACAACTTTATTCTTTATGTCTTGGGTGACGTGGCAGACTCTGACAGTGCAAAACCTTCTTGAACTCCGATTGGTGCTCGCTCAGATAAGCTTATGTCAGCTCTGATTTTTTAAGCATAACAAGTTTTATTGATTCATTAATAGTCATAGATCAAATTTAAACTTTGATCCTACGACCAAAAATGAAGTGAGCCAATTGAGAGGGTGCCCACAAAATTATAAATAAGGGCTTTGTGTAGCCATTTTCCATACTCACAGAACAAATGAAAATATCTTTTTTTTTTTTTTTTTACTGATCGGGGCTGTCCAGGTCAGCTTATGTGCACCTGAACAAATTCTCCAGACCCTAGAATTATTTACCAGGTAAAAGCTCTAGTAGCTACTCCTATTAACACCTAAGAAGGGACTCGAACCCAAGACCTATTAAGTAATACACTCAAGAGTCCCTATAGAACCACTCGACCATCCAGAGATAGTTAAAAAATATCTCTTCCTCCAACCTTCTTTACACCTTTCATTGTATAAACCAGTGTTTTGAAAACCGGCTTGGCCTGGCCGATTTAACTGTGACCCAGGAGCTTCACCGAGTCAGGTTAACAATTTCCCTATTCACCTAAAACCTTAGAATTTGGGATGATGATCGACAAACAAGTAAAGGTCGGGGATGTTAGGGCTTTTGAAGAGAAAGTGCCGATGAGTGCAATGGTGGCGACGGAATTGATTTTCGATGAGTGAATCGACCAAAAAGGTGGCGGCAATAGCCGATGATTGGCAAGGCTAACAGGGGTGGGGTGAGTGAGTTTGGTCAGGAGGAAGAGGGGAGTATTTTCGAGGTAATCGGGAGGGTTGTCCACATCAACGTCGGTGAGATCTGTTCGATTTTGGCCAAATCTTGGATAGCTTTTCTAGGGAATGGGCTCAAGGGATTATTGGAATTGCATTTGGGGTGTCGTCGTTGCCAACCAATAGTCGGTCGATTTGTATTTGGGGTGTATTTGCTAAATTTCAAACTAGTAGGGACTTAACAAATTTTTAGGAGTGTATTTTCTGAATTTTAAAAGTTTTGTCATTTGGTTTGACTGGCCGGATAAACTGGTCAACCTGGAACCCAACAACTTTGTCGGGTTTCATCTCGAGTTGGTTATCAAAACATTGGTATAAACTATTCATAGTTTTCTAGCATAAAATTTATTACTGTAGAAATAGAACATTTATTCTTTGCAGGCTTACAAAATTTTAAGAGTATTGGAGTTTGTTTTCGTCGGTGCTCAATGCAGACAAACATAATAGTGCTTCATTGTATCCTAAAAGCATATTTGCAAGGCCCAATGCATCACACAATTGGGCAAACAACGTTTTTAAGCAAAGTAAAAATTTATAAAGTGCCTCGAAGCAAACTTTCTTTTCTACATAATTTCTTTATTACACAAGTTGTATTCATTAGTTTAACTTTCTTTTTATATCTCTACTTTGTAAGTTTTGGAGTTGCTACCACCGAGTATTTAGCTGTGAAATTTCTGTGCTTCAGTTTTTTTTTTAATTAAAATAAATTTAACCACTGTATCTTTTTGTTGTGTACTTTGGTTGGAAGTACCTCATTGCTTTTAAGAGCCACACAGAAAGCAATTCTCGCTTTTGAAGCAGGAGAAGGAAGTACATCTGCAGAGGATTTCAATTCTAAAATCTTACAAAGACGAACTCATCATGTCTCTCATTTAAGTCAAAGAAATACACGACTATACAACAAATATGCATTTTATTTTTTCTATGAAAATATTAATCAACAGGAATTGGAACATGTGTTTATTTATTTGATTCATCAGGAAATAATAATAAGCATGGTACTATTGTACTGTCACCATAACTATACCATTCCAGCTATATTTCATTGGCAAACTTATGGTAAGAGAGATAAGAAGGCGTATCCATATGTGTACTCAAATAACTCGGCAGCTTGCTCCTCTTAGACCAAAGCCATATCTTGGATACAGAGAAGCTCTCACCTCTACTTCTACTATTGATTTTCTTCCCTTCCATTTCACCATCAACTAAAGAATTCCCATGCTCTTCTTTCTCTTTGACAGGCTTCACATCACTTTTAACACCAGCAGCTCCATCTCTATCATCGGACAATGCAACTTGTAAATCTGAATCACCAACCACGTATTGATATGTTCCCATTGAGTAACATCTTCTTGCATCCAAATTACAGCTACTTATTTCTCCTGGACCTCTCTCTTTGCTATCTTCATTTGTGCTTCTAAATTTTCCAAGTCTCACAGAAAAAACCCTTTTCGGGTCAGCGCTTTCTTCTGTATTTGCCGGGGTTTGATGACAAGAAAATCCATTCTCTACATCACTGGAGAACCCATTTGATATCTCCCTCCAAACGTCAAAACTATAAACTGGATTCTCCGTGGGAGGGCCTGAGTTCAAAAGGGTCCCTCTACAAAGAGGGCAGGTGGAGTTTGAAAGAAGCCATGTATCTATACAAGTGATGTGAAAGGCATGGCTACACCTCGGAAGCAACCTCAGCTTGTCATGGTCTGATAATTCACAGAGACAGACTGCGCAATCAAATGGCTCCTTCAAGCCCATTATATCTTTATAATAGAATATAGGTAGAGCATCTATTGAAGCTTGGTCTAGACCGGAGTCGTGTAGCCTGAAAAGGTGTTGAAGCTGTCTTTGAAAAGCATGAGGGGTTTCTGGGTGTCGATTATTGGATCGATGAATTGGTAAAGAAGATTGTCTCTTTATGAGACATCTGACAAGCAAATGGACAAGACCAGAAATGAAGAAAACAACAGCTAGAGTTACTATAATAAAAAGAATTACCGGACTGATTCTACCAACTGATGATGATTGAGTTGATTCATTTTCATACTTGATAGTACTGTTAGGACTTGATAACGAAGAAGAAGGTGATGGAGGAGGAGGTGGATATATGAAAACACCATCTTTATTATTCTTCATTTGATGTAGAACTCTAGACATTGTAGCTAATGTTCTAAAAACAAAACTCTTATCAGAAACTCTCCGAAAGACACTCTTTCTAGCCTGGAATTTGTAAAAGATTAAGGAGTGAAAGACCAAGTGTAATGACAGAATTTTTTTTTTATCAAACCGATACTATCAAGTGAGAGGAAACTGATTGTTCCAGGAGAGTACACTTGAAAAAACTGATGAGAGTTTTTGTGCTTATTTGTCTTGAACAAAATAAACGAAGGAAATGTTGAGAAAGAGTGGCAGTGGGTACATGATTCCATAACCATAAGAGGCGTTTTGAAAGAATATGTGGCCACCCTTTTAACCAAAAAAGCCTCAAAGACTATTTGTTGTCATTTCTTGCCTCAATTGCCAAGGTTTAGATACCTTAGGAAAAAGTTGAGCAAGAATGAGGAGACCGCAAGGAAGATGGGGAATGATTAAAGGGTCACCACCACATTTCCATGTCCCTGCTTTTTTCATCAGAAATTGTCAACATTTATAAATACACTTACATTGATTTTTCTGTGTGATTGCTTTCTAATCACGGCAAATTTAATTTCCATCAATCTTGGCAGAAAAGCAGTGTATTGACTATTTCTGATTCATCGAATATAAGAGAGGCTATGATCAATGGTGATCAAGAAACAATAATTCTTTTAGATTTGATGCAAGTTCATGTTCATGTGATAAATCATGTTATTAGGAGGGAGTAATCTAATCAGATGGGGCACAAGACCATGGATTAATTATTAAATTAAACGTGTTAGCTATGATGATACAAGAGACATTTCAAAGGACAAAACTTCATGGTGGTGGGTCTCTTGACTCACATGTGCTATAGCTTTTCCTTTAACGCATGCCACCTAAATGCATAGATGATTATGCCCAATAAAGAGAGGTCGCCATAACTCAATTCTATGATTAGAATGGTTGACAATTTTGCCTGATGTTGGTTCATGCCACATTCGACGATACTGTTTCTTCTTAGCTTTTTGATATTTGTTGTTTGTACTTGGACAAGCTCTCGAAATCATATATATATGGACACGTTTTCAGTGAAGAGCACTCTTATCAACTCACTTATGTAGTAATTCAGCATAATCAGCTATAACCTCTGGGCCACAGCCACTGATTGATTCATACCCCATTTTGTATTGTTTTCTGATATATATATGTCTATTTTCAAACTTGTTAGCAGTCAAGTCATAGATTGATTTAGTGGCCAACAAATTCACTGCAATAACACAGACAATGAATTGAAATATTGAAAATTGTTGAATATATGAATAAATTACAGCTATGCAAGAATGAATTTTGAATCAAGATTTGTTTTTCAATCAATTAAATACTAAAACTTTTCAGATTAATCATCTTGTAAGAAATTTATTAACAGGCATTTCCCAGCAAGTTCTTACACATCATGTAGTCATTTGCTTAGCTAATCATGATTCCGAGTCCATGGATCTCTCTTCTTCCTCTTTTATTGAATTGATCATTACAGCAATTTGATTTATGGTTGGCCTTTCATTTGGAGAAGGATTTATGCACTTCAGTGCTACTTGTAACAGGTTCACCATCCTCTCTTCATTTGCACCTTCTAAAATTAAGGCTCTGTCAAAAACTTCGACGGTCCATTCCTCTCTAACCACCGAGTGCACCCATTTAGCCAAATCAAACCCACTATTCTGGACTAACTTCCCTGTTAGAAGCTCAAGAAGAATCACACCAAAGCCATAGACATCAACCTTGAAGGTGCTATACATTTTGCCACTGCTATGATCGCTCTTGAAGCTGCTGGACCGAGCAAGGAAGGATTGGTCTTGATTCTCAATTTCCATTAGGCCATATTCGCTCACACATGGGTCCATGTTCTTGTTGAACAAAATGTTGGTGGATTTTAGGTTACCATGAGCAATTCCATCTTCATGAAGTTTGTCGTGCATGAACGCGAGAGACTGTGCAATTGCAACTGCAACTCCTAGTCTGCTTCCCCAGTCAAAGGATTGGCCATTTTGGGATTCTGAACTCAACAATCAACAATGATGCATGGTTTTATTGTTCCATATTGATGAGAGAGATGCTAATTTATAAGAACAGAAAAGCATGAATTCAAGTAATCAGGAGCTAACTAGAGTATCAGCTTATAACTTATACCAGCTGCATTCTAAGCAGCCTAGAAACTAAACAAATTTCTTAGTTTATTTCATGAAGTTTGATTTTGCATACGATTTTGTAAAGACTAAATGATTATTTCATTCCTACTTATTCTATTCAATTTTTCACAATGTCATAACAACTCCAAATTCCTAAAATAAAAGTGAGTAAAACATGCATAGAAAGAGAAGTTACCATGAAGAAGCTTGAAAAGACTTCCATTTGGCTGATATTCGTAAACCAAGAGCTTCTCTTGATTAGAACAATAATATGCAACTGGGGGCAATACATTTGGATGCTTCACTTGGTCTATCTTCTCCATTCTTCTCTTGAAGTCTTCACTTGAAATGCCCCAATCTTTTAACCTTTTCACAGCCATGATCGCTCCGTTGTCAAGCATGACCTTGTATAGGCTTCCATGTTTTCCCTTTCCAAGCAATTCAGCTGGAGCTTGAAGCACTTCTTCAAATCTCAATCCCTTCACTGCCGGACTTAAAAAAACTACAAGCGATGATGGGGCAATTCCACCCTCGGCAGATGTAATGGAATACTCTGATCTATTCTCACCAGTCTTTAATCCACTTGAAGTACTAATAGGCTTATTGGTACCAGTATCCTGTGCTACTCCCTTCTTTACAGTATCAGTCTTCTTTGCATTTGGCTTCTTTTTCCTAACTAATCTCAAGGCAATGAAGAGCAAAATCAACAGACCAATGATAATATAGCCCGAGTATAAAAGAACCTGATTTGTTGAATCTTTTGATTTCTTCTCTGGTGGGGGAGTTGGTGGGCAAGCATTTGATAGTGGCTTTCCACATAATCCAGGATTACCTGAAAAGCTGTCAGCACTGAACCGGCCTTTGACATCAGGAATTGGACCGCTGAAGTTGTTGTTGGAGACATTGAAATCCTTAAGATTGAGAAAATCAAAATCTGGTATCCCTCCACTGAGCTGATTATTCTCAACATAGAAGGTTATCAGGCCTGAAATTCGAGCCACATCCGGAAGCTCGCCAGAGAAGTTATTGTTGGCTATTTCAAGCCTTTTTAAATTACTTAATTGTGATAGAGAATCGGGAAGGTTACCAGAGAATCGGTTCCCACTTAAATAGAGGTGAGTCAACTGTTTACAATTCGAAATGTCCTCCGGTACAACTCCAGCAATATTGTTACCTTTCAGGCTCAAGACAGTAAGAGAGTTTGCTATACAAACAGAACTTGCCTCAAGAACGCCACTGAGATTAAACCCTTCAAGAACAATTCTTTTAACAAACTGCTGCTTTGCATCATCACAAGATACACCCACCCATTTTTCATTGCAGGGGTCTGAACTCGTGTTCCAACCCCAATTCTGATCTCTCTCGGCATTACCTGGTGAAAGTTTCTCCATGAATTGGACTAGTGCCTCTCTCACTTCTAGTAATTCAGAGTTTGCAATTGGGAAAAGAAGAAAGATCAAAATTGGCAGTGCTCGGATGGAAATTCGATCCATTCTTGATGGACAAGCCGAATGTTTGCAAAATGACACTACAGTTTGCACTCTCCTTAATGAAGCTAAAGTGATCACTAGTAAGACAATGGGAAAGAAATAAAACTGATGTTGTTGCAGTCTGCCAATTGGCTGAATTTACAAAGATGGTTTGTAGCTTCTAGTCGTGAAGGACAATGACTTACAGATATGAGGTAGATGACTGGGCTAGAATCAACATTGTAGAATCTGTAAGCCGGCAGACTGAAATAGTCAGAAATTTCAAATATTATGTCACAGTCAAATTGGTTTCTCAGTTCTCACACTTCTGATTCTCTTACGAATAGTTTACTAATCGTTGTATATCTATCTATGATACAAATGGAGCTTTCTCATTTATCTATATCCCAGGAAAAAGACATCTTAAATTAACTTCAATCAACTGAACTGGTAACCTTGCCCAGTTCACACAAGACAAAACCTCAAGAGGAGCAAGGCAAATCCTCCAGACAAGCTAATTTTAGAATAACAGAATTACAGATTGATAGATAAAACTTACGAGATGTTTGAATATTCTAAATTTAAAATTTAAACGTTTAGGTATATGGTTGCCAACTGATTTAATATAGGAAAACAATATTTAATTTCAGAAATATTTGTTCGAGTCTTATGTTTCCATTTAGAAAACAATTTTTTAATTGGTTGGAAACTACTATATTTTCACTCAGATTGTGCTTTAATCAACTGCAACTTTCAACTTTCTAAGGTTTTTTTTTTTTTTTTTTTTTTTGGGTAACTGGAGTGTTTGAACCAGTTTATGCGCATCTTAATTAATCTATAGGTCCATTGCATTATTTTAAAACCCGGATAAGAGGACAACCCGTTTTACTGCCCGAGTTACTGATCAACCGATGACATCAACAATAATTTAATTTTAAAAAAAATTACTATTAATCCCTTAAATTTTAGTATATTACAGAAAAAACCCTAAAATTTTAAATTAGTCCCTAAAATTTTTATTTATTTCAAAAATACCCCAAATAAATTTGAAATATTACAATACCCCCTTAAACCCTGAACCAGACCGAAAATACTACCGAGTCTCGATCGAACCGATCCGACCGATCAATCCGATCTGGTTTTTAATACAGGGATCCGTTGAAGACCGTACAAGTTTAAAAGACCAAATAAGTCATAATATTGTTGTAAGTGATATCCAAGTTTGAACTTAGTAATTTAAGGAACAAAGTAACCCTCCTTAACCCAACCTCAACTTTCAAGGGTTTGTGCACATAAAATAATGTATTATATGATTATATCCATAATAACACAGAAAGCGGGTGGCAATGAGCGGAAAGGAAAATTAATGTGGCCAAAGAATCCAACCCACAAAGAAAAAACAAGGAGAGATAGAAGAGACAATGTGCAATAAAAAAAACCACTTTTGATCAGCTTATCAATTTCTTATTGTCCTTCATCTTCAATATGAGCCCTCATATTCTGATATATTAAAATTGAATTCAACTCCTTTCTTTATGGTGGGAAACAACTCTTACGGTATTACATGCTAAAACTAGAATATAACTGAACAGATGGGGCTGTAATAAGGATACATTGCTGCTCTATCAAGTAGTTCAATTCAAGATGGCAAGCCTCACAGATCATTATGGATCTGCATGGCCAGCAATATCATCATCACTCGAAGCACTTCCTTCATCTTCACTAATATCCTCATCGCCACTCTCATCTTCAGCAGTGGAGTTTGCAATATTCTCCTTTTTTGCATATCGCTCACAGTACTCTGTTTCCACAAAAAAGAGTTAGATTGTTACACACACACACACACACACACACACACACACACATATATATATATATATGCCCAAAGATGCAATAACATCTGAAACTAAGTGATACATATTTTTCTCTCGATATATAAAGTCCCAAAAGCACTCAATGAAGTGAAAAATTCAAGTTGGATGTCCCCATTTATTGTGACTTATTATTTGAATCCTGATTCTTCGGAGTTGCACATATATTACAGTAATCTACAGAGTAGGGAGGGTTGATCTCTCTGGGCCATTGCTGAGGCACTAATGTACCGTTAGAAAGTTATAGATCGTTCTATTCCTTAAGTTGTTCAACCAAAGGATACATAAATATAGAGGAAAAAATGGATTTATTCTAAGCATAACTTTCACCTTTCACTTTTTGATCATACTGTTTTCGGTCCTTCATCATCAGTGAAGCTGCATCACCATTGAGTGGGTCTGAAGGATTTGGATAAAGGAGGAGTTGCGGAAGAAAAACTTCAAAAATGTTTAATAGATCTGCAGCAACAGAAATAGCGGCCATATATGTGAAAAATCCCAGTTAATGAACCAGAAGCAACTGATGGGTTTGGAATCATGTAAAAGGAGTGAAGACCTATAATACAAAAACAATGTACATGTGCATGTACAACAGTAAAATAAAATAAATTTCCATGAGTATAAGAAAGTGGACAATCTAAACCATATAAAACAAGAAATTTCTTTAATTGATGGTTACCAAACATTGGGCTCCATGATTGGTTGATAACATCCAAGCATACAGAACCAGACCTGTGATTAATACGAATACAAAGCACAGTCAGCAGGATCATCAAAAGATTTTGAAAAAATTAACAGAGTCACTTCCTTTAAACTTATCAAAACAGTTTCAAGTTCTAAACATATGACATATTCTGTTTCTATACCTACGGCAGATATTTCCTTTCTTTATTAGGACAAAATCAACTTCCTATTCATAGCAGTTCAATGTTCAAAAGAATAATGAGAACATTTGCTTCTGAAAGTATGAGTTGCTCACATCTCATCAACATTTGGGTGGTATATCTTGTTCACAAAGCCAATAGAAGGAGACTTATATGGATAAGCATCAGGAAGCTCAACACGGATTTTCCAAACTCCACCTTCATAAAGGCCTGCGAGCATCACATCCATGTAACATTAAGAAACTTAAGAAATAATAATAATAAGGTTTGAACAGCCAAATCTATCATAAGATTGCAAAGTTTTTGGCCAGTAAATAACATGTCTTGATTAATTTAAGAAAACTCTACTTCAAATTCTTCAAGATAAATTACAAAATAAGTCATCCTAAGATCTAATATCCAGTATCTTTTAATAGAATAATTAATGTATAGCTGTAGCATCAACCTCCTACGGTCATAAGGAAAAAAAGCGTATATCACATGTTTAATAAATTTAAAAAGATCTATCACAATTCAGAGAGTAGCTTCAATTGGAAAAGTTGGTTGAAAAAGTTAATTAATAGCTTAATCTCCTCGCAAGTTACATGCATAAACAATGGATAAAATGTGAGTTTCCCATTCAAACATCAAGAATGACAAGAGTTTTACTTTCCAGAGGCTGAAGCTCACACAAATCTTTAGCTAAAAATGGCAGGATATGTTCCTGAATTCATTCATAGATGCCATTATGTGCAACACACATTAAGAGAAATCACATGCGGCAAAATAATTGTGAGACAGCATTCTGTAGTAAGTAAAACGAACAAGTGAAGAGACAGTACTTTCTTTTGGACCATGGAATTCCACATTAAATTCATTGAGTCCATCGTTTATTGTCTCCACATTGTAATCACTCATCATCCTGAATAAACAGAAGGCAATAAGTAAGAAGTTGAACAAAGAATATCAATACAGAACATCATTTAAAGTTGAAGTTCCAAAATTGAATAACTATGCCAGCTGTAAGAGGATTTAAATATAATAAAGCCATACAAATATTAAGATATCGATCACAGAAACAGCAGTCAGATCCAAATCTAATTACTTACAAAGAAGGATCCCACAGTACCAACGCAAGACGTTAATCAGAGAAGGTTCATAAATTTCAAAGGAATGCCCAGAGATGTAAATTTGGAAATGCTACATAAATTGCAAAATTTTTGCTTTCAGACAGTCAATTTCACCTCACTCACGTAAGACTTTTAGATAAGTACCCGACACCACTGAACCATAGTCTACCATTTCATTAAACCATATCAAATTGTTCATCATACATTAAAAAAAACAAAAAACATAATAACATTGGAGAATACCAGAGAATGTGAACAAATAGTAATAATGAGAAACTTACAGCTTCATGACATCCATATCTCTCCTCTTGCTTGGAGACGACATTTTAATCCTATAGAAGTTAAAGAGCACAACCTGTTGTATTGGAGGACAGAGAAATCAACATCGTTTTATTCTTAAGAACTGTATAACTGTTCATAATAGAAAACTACTAAGGAAATAACATGTTATATATATTCTAAAAATATTCCCATCTATTCATCAAAAAAACTCTAAAACAAAAGCAGATAACAACAGAAATCATACAAGAATAAGCACCGACCAACCAAAGATCCAGAAGCTCCAAGTAATATCAGATACCACAAATTATATTCAAGGCCAAAACCAGCAACAGAACATATCTGTAAGAGAATGAAATCAGCAGACTGATACATGTCATGCCACAACAAAATTGCTCGTTAGGACATAAATATCGCTTCAACATTTATAAAACCTTCATATCACATAGTCGACGTAAGCAGCACATCTAATGTTAAAAAAATTACTAAATTACATCAAATATCCTACTTTGATTCATCTACACTTCAAAGGACCTTTAAAAGACATACAGTTTAAGTTCAAGACTCTGCTAAACACATAATAATCAAATCTGTACTTCATGAATACTCTTTTAACTTACACTCACAAACATTAATGAACAACTAATTTTTCACCTTAGAAATTCATGTTCTGGACATGTAAAATTAAACCAATAACCAAGATCATTAAAAAACAAAGTAAAAGACAAAATTTACACCCCACATGATCAAATAAGGCTACAAATAGAGCCTAATTCACAATGCAGCCATCACAACCACAATACTCAACAGAACAACCATAAAATTAGAACTTTTCTCAGACGAATAGACTCAAAATCCTAAATCTAATCGTTTTTGTTGCATCCTTATATTTCTGTAATCAATCAGTAATCAATCAGAGGTGCAAAGTGATTAGTACATTAATTATGGTTCCATGTTGAAGAGGTTCGCGGAAGGCCCAAAATTTTATACAAAAACGTAATTAATTCTAAGATCTATAGCCTCGAAAGAAACCAAAAAAGCATAAAAGAAACGAAATTATTATCTTACAACAGCGGAATTCAATTCGCGGAAATCAAAAGAAGGCCTATATGATTGGAGTCCAAAGTTGAATTTCTGATGAGAAGAATCGTGAGAAACAAACAGAAAATTAATGAAGTTCGAAGTTGGAAAGAGAAAAGAAAAACTGATGAAAAGAAACGCAGAGAGAGAGAGAGAGAGAGAGAGAGTTTGGGCCGGGGTGAATATCAACACTCTCTTCGAGCAAAGATATGCAACGTGGCATGCAAGATCTTTTAGGTTTTTTTTATTTTTTTTTAATTTAGTTTAATTCGTTTACAGTTAAATGTAGTAAATAATAAAAAATGATTTTGTAATTAATGAATATTAGATTATCAGATAATATCTTAATCTTATTTGTATGATAATTTCTTGTTTTCCAAGACTCAGGATATGGATTTTGCAGGATGTATTTAAATGTAGATTGGTGAAGCTAAAATACATAAATAAATAAATAACATTATTTAATATATAGGAAAAAGCTTGTGTTTAAATGGCCTTTAATTAAATTGATGAGATTTAACATTCAAAATATAAAATATTTTATTAAGAACTCCATTGAGTCTTTGACTTCAAAAACTATTATAAATAAATATCAATATTATAAGTTTTATTGTTATTTGAAATATATAATGAATTTCTACATGTACAATTTGCGTAGAGTCAATGGGATTAACACATTGTGAAACATAATGAGCTCATGCATATAGTCATAGCCATAGCCATTGATTTAATGACAATACGGGGTTTGATGTGTAAATTAAGCCACATATTGTTGAATATACGAGAACATTCATGTAACTACATGTCAGCTGGATTCTATTCATCTCTATTATTTTTATGGTTTTGATGAGAATATTAAATATATTACACACAAATCTCTCCCTTGATGTGATGACAAATCATTTAGTCATTAAAGTTAGTAATATTCGAGCTTTTGTGTTCAAGTTACAAAAGATGTATCTATTATATATTTGTGTAATTACTTTGATCCATTGAACTTATAAAAATTTCCGTAATCATGCGAATTAGATAGACACCACATAACTCATATGACTAAAAAAGAAAAATACACACAAATCAAAGAAGGATTATTTACAAGTTGTAATATGGACCGACTAACTGAAGGGCTGGTGCAAACCTAAACCTAGCCCATCAGGGCGTCTACCAGACTTGAAAGAATTCTATTTCTCTCTTAAATCTTAGTAGAAATAGTTTTGAAATCTGAATATATTCTATTATATAAGTAGTACAATTTATTTCCAATAATCCATATAAAAATACATCGGTTATTTTGAGTGTTTAATTTTTAGCATTTACATTATATTTGCTCCAATTTTTATATAAGATGAGGATGTGATAGAAAAAATATATATCAATTAGGTGATAGATTTCGTTGATATATATGACAGAAATGTAACCTCTCCAGGCATAATAAATGGTGAAACTTTTGAAGTCCATCTTCGTCGATGCTACAACAAATATAAGATCCAAAAAAAAAAAAAAAAAAAAAAAAGCCTAAGATCACTATGAAAATGTCGGTTGGTTCAGTTGAGAATAGTTCCAGGACACAAACTTGCTCCTCAAATAAAAGATATAATCAGTTGCATGAACCAGAAGTTGATCAAGATGTTGCAGGTCTCCCCACCCGGGACGAGATTCTGAAGCTTTTCGACCTTCATTTCATGAACCTTACCCACCCTTCACATACCTGATCTCCTTCTCTTCCTTCTTTCACTTTTCTGACTCGACGTCCCGAACCCACAACAAATATATCAAAAGAGAGAGTTGTAAAAAAGCATATTGAATCACTACTGCAGCAAGGGCTTAATATATAAACAGATTAACAAGAGGAAAGAGAATGCAGTGGGAGCTAACTGGTTGTGGGTTTTTTTTTTTTTTTTTGGTTTTGTGGAGAGAAACTTGTATGACCAAGCTGGCCAATAGATCTGTTGCCAAGTCAATAGGGGGCCAAACTTGTGTTGTAAGTGGTGGGTGAGTGTGTGTGGTTGGTTTGAGTTTTGATACAGGAATGTAAAAAAATCTATGACAGCTTTTACTTGCACATGTTAGCCACTAGTTAGTATGTTTCGGATCATGACAATTTGTGTCCTCGTAATCCTCGAATCCTTACAGCTCGGATTTCATCTCCATGTCATGTCCTGATCTTATTAATTTCTGTTACAGGTGATATTTTCATCAGCCAGATAGGAATGTATCGCATGATCAATTATCTATCTGTTCAACTAGCTAGGACATTTAGATCATCTTAAATTTATTTTCTAATTAGAAATATTAATTGATTTCATCAAGATATTGTTGATCTTCAGCTAGCTCTTGATACATATAGAAATATTATCATGAAAATACATGTATAGTACATACATAAACAATGGGACTGACAGCAGAAATCAGGTAAGTAATATATTGAATTTGAGAGAGTTACATTAGTTGAAGCTAAGCTAATTAAGGACAAGCTTTCTCTTCATGATGAAATTGATGGTCTTCTGCTACCGCCTGATCCAGTCCCATCAGCGGGTGTTGAGAGGGTGAGATCGAAGGAAATGATTCATCATGGAGCTGAAAAAAGGGAGGAGAAGATTTAGATGATGGTGGAGCTACTGAGGGGAGCTTCATGAGTAGTTTCTCGAGGCTGTTCATTGCTAATAAAGTGTGCATCAGTGGTTCATTGAAATGATCGGAGACGTAGTCCATATTTGATATCAAGGGAGTAGTAGGATAGAGTACTGGTTGAGAAGTCTCGTAACATTGATCATCTGGCATTGTACTAATAATAGAATCATTATTAAAGCCCTCAATCGGAAATGGATTGTGGATGTTGATGGGTGCAGTAACTTGAAAGGGGAAAATAGTTGAATGGATTGGCGATGGAGATGGAGATGATGGACGTGGTAAGAGGAAACCGGGAATAATCTGAAGATTATTAAAAAAAATTTGGATTTCAGCAACATAGATGAGATCCTCTGGGACCTGAAATGTCAATAATCAGAAATGAATTACGTTAAAGCAAGAGACAAAGAGAACATATCTAAATTATACCAATGGTAGAGAGACAGGTCCACCTTTCTAAGAGCTCCTAATTGAAGAACACCTTCGTGCACTGCAATTAAAGAAATCGTCTGCAATTTCACCATTAAAAGAATGATTAATTCTTCTAAACTTATGCGACATTTTTTTTTTAAAGCATGTCGCAGTTTGGTTCAGGAGATGTTGATGTAATCATTAGTGTCATTTATTTCAATGTTTCTTCAAGTTAGATCACACAATAAAAGCAAACAAACAAGAATGAAGAAAGATTATCGCAGTCGACCTTTATTCCAGATTGAAACTGAGCCTTCCATGTTCTTGGATGCTGCAAGGAGATTATATATATTCAATGAGAAATATATTTATTGAGCAGCTGATTAAAGTACGTAAAAGATATCGATCAGAACACATGCATTAATTCGAGATTGCTTGATTAATTACCAGGTGTACGGAGTTTTGCCACACAGACAAGTTGATTTGTTCACTGTAAACGCACTTATGACCACGTTCTGCAGCGACTTTTCCAATCAAACTGCGAAAAAGACCAGTTGTTAATTTGAATTTTAAAATCCTTGAGGAGATAATAAAGAATCATATAACAAAATGGTGGTTTTCTCGTCACCCTTCTCCATAGTTGTGGATTTCATGCGACATCTTGAAAAACAGCTCAGGTTGGAGTCCATCAATTTGAATATCACAGTTTTTGTCCTCCGATGATGAGCTTGCCGGAGGATTTCTCCCAGCTGTTGAAGCTAAAAAGTTGCAGAAACCATCTTCCCATGCGAGCATCCTAGGACATATTAGCCATATGATCAATGACAGACCAATAAAAATACGTTTCAATGAACGAGCGAGCTTCAACAAATTAACATTGAGGGGTTACCAGTTCCTCCTGTTCACTCTTGACCTGTTATGAGCTCCCTTTTGAAGAAAATCCCAACTGTTTTAAAACCAAATAAAAAAAAAAAAAAAAATTTACAAGGAAAGAGAAGTAAAACGGCCTATAGTAAAAGTTATAGTTCATTCATCTAGTCGGTGCAATCAATACATATTTTTAGTTCATGCTTACTCCGGTGGTGGATAACTTCGAGGTAATGTTCTCCAAAAAACTGCGTAAATCCACGGGGAGTTTTTATGACACAAGTTTCTTAATGTATGCTGAAGGAGATGAGTAGCCACTACTGGATTATTATCAATTGAATACTCCTCCATCAAGCCTACTTCTCTTTTTTCTCTCAAAGTAGTCTACATTACAATAGGCCAACTTTTTATATTCTTTTTGTGAGGCAGCCAGGAAGCGGCACATTGTGACATCTCGCTCTCTCTCTCTCTCACACACTTTCTCCATTATTTCCTCCGTTGCCCTTTTCTGACAAGTGAGCGTCCTGACAAATAAATCCTGTTCAATTACTCCCAGGTAAATTTAGGTCCCAAATTCTCATTCAAATAGTATCCCGCATTACAAAGCAAGATCATGCAATTAATTCTTGAATAGTTGAATGTATTGGTCATGCCAACTTACCAATACTTTCATGAGTTATATATTTATCAATACTAGTAAATTGCTTTTTCCCACCCAAATAATGACCTAATGAAATTTTTTCACCCAAAAAGTCCGCTCGTTGTAAAGAAATGTAGGATGGTTAAAAGTCCGTTATAAGTAAAGACACGATGGTTAATTAATATTTTGCATCAAAATTTAAAATTCCACTTTGTTGAGAAAACAGCGAACGGCGAGGCGGTAATCCATGGCCAAATGACCGGTGAGTAACCAAGTGTCGGGGTTTGAGAGGTTTCAAAGAGGGGAGGTCGGAGGTTAAAAGGTGGTGGAAGATTGGATTTTGGCTGCCGGAATCAAGCGAAACCGGCCAAAACAACAAAACCCTAACTTGCGGCGGCTGGCAAACAATGGGGTAAAAGATGCGGGGATCAAGGGGATTTTGGTCAAGGGAGGATGGGGAATCTGGTGGTGATGATGGGGAAGGCCAACGACGCTGAATTCTAGCCAAATTGACTAGAGACGGTGATGCGAAGGCTGGTTAATGAATAAAGTTTGAATATTTGGACTCTGAATTTGGTCTTCCTGGAGAAAGTTTGTAACTTTGATTGGGATTTTATCTATTTGTTGGTTTTTGAATGGAATTGATGGTTGTACGTTGATTGGGATTGTTTTAGAAGTGTTTGTTGTTGTTTTTTCTCCAGCATTGAAGACTGGAGATTTTTAAGTTGGCACTCCAACTGTTAGACAAAAGGCTTGAGCCAACTATCGTCGACCTCACTTACCCGGTCGACGCCCTCAAGCCTCCTGTTGTTGACCTCACCTGCCCAGCCGACTGTCGAACCGCACAATAGCGTTGCGCGCCACCCATTCCCGTGATTGTGTGTGTTTGGTTGAGAGAAGGTTGGATTTTGGAGAGTTGTGTTTGTCTTGACTATTGATTAGAATTGATTGAATGATGGGTTGATTGATTAAAAAAATTAGACTAGATGGAGGTGGTGTTGGAGACGGAGGAGGAGGTGAAGTTTGTGGTGGGCCATGATGGAGGCTAAGAAGAGAAGAGTATTTTCATCTTTTTAATGAATATAACTGTATTTAACGGAAATTATTAACAGCACAAAACACTTGGGTAGTAAAACTTTATTTTAAAACTTTTTGGGTAGGAAAATGTCATTTGGTCATTATTTGGGTGGGAAAAAGTCGTTTCCTCTTATCAATACACATACATGTATATATATATGATTCCGCTGGTGAAATTGATAAGACATTGAAGCAAACAGTTTGCCTATATATAAAGCTATACCCCTGATGCAATTCAGGTTTTCTGATTCACACCGTATATGATGAGTTCATCAACATATGGTGCTAGCTTCTCTAAAACAGAATGATTATTAGCCACAAATTCCATAGATTTCATGTGGGAAGGAGCCAGCTCGATGCAACTTTCTGATATTTATTGCAAATGCTCCGTGAGATTAATTATATACACCGGGGTTCTCTAAGGCTCTTGATCATTTGTAGAAGAGTTTGGCAGGCTCATGATTTACAGGTTCTTGGGAGTCATCCATGGGGAAGCTTTAAGGGATGACAATAGTACTTTATGATACCATACAATAACTCATTTGAAAACTGAAACCGTCGCATGCAGGACCCATATGTACGAATCAAATTAATTGTACTCTTAATTTGAGGACACAATCCTGCGTTTACTTGGACCGACTTCAACCACAAACATCAGATTGACATAACCTTCACATTAAATTTATGTAATTTATAGTGTATTTATTATTATATCTTTAATCCATTATATTAAATATTACACTAAAAAAAATATTTTATAGAACATTCTCTTCATTTTTTTATTAATAATCAATAATTAATTTATTTTACTAATTATGTATATATATATTAATTAAATATTAAGAATGATATTTTTATTAAATAATAATAACTTTAAAAATTATACTAATTTAATAAAATTAAATATTTATTTAATCAAATAAATATTACATTTAATATAAAAAAACATTACATCTAATTTTAAATGCCAAAAAAAATAAAAAATAATAGCACAAAAGTGAAATTCCAAATGAAAAAATTGGCTTTGGCAGAATATCGAGAAGATAACAAAATTTTATTCAAAGATTTGAATTCCATAACCAATCCAGGTCAAAGATCTCAAAATAATTCTAGTTCTTTCCAATATTTTGATGATCTTAGAGGATTCGGAACTAATCTACCGGAATACTAAGGGTGTGTTTGGTTCCATATTATTATCCATATTCCCAATCCTATTCCCCAAATATTGTTTGGCACATTATTTGAAAAATATTATTGTATTTTTTTAATTACTTTTAGACCCTTTAAGTTTATTAATTTCATTAAATACCCCTAGAAAAAAGTTTAAAAAGTAACAAAAACACTCCCTAAACCTATACTTGCTAGATTCCGACAACCACCGTCGGTGAGAGCTGGAATCTGTTACAACGGCCTACACCACTACCAAAAAAGACCAGTAATTCACTGATCTGGCCGTCGTTGACTGACAACGACGACCATATCTTTGGTCATTGCTAACGGCCAAAGATGGACTTTTTCGGTCGTCGACGGCCACATCTGGCCGTAGATTTGACCTTTTTCGGCCATATTTGTGGTGGATTTGGCCAGAAAATTCCATATCGACACATTACGTCACAAATCCGACTGGTCTGTGTTGTAACGCAATTTTCTGGCCAGATTCTGGCGGTGGTGGTGAAATCTGGCACTGCAGGTGGTCAGGGTGTTTTTATCATTTTACGAAAAATTTATATATTGGGGTGTTTAATTAAATTAGCAAACCTAGGGGGGGTTTTAGAAATTTTACCTCGTAATACTCCCCTATTCAACTACCCAATATTATTCCCAAAATCCTATCCAAAATAATAAACCAAACGCACCCTAAATTGTTATTTTAGTTTATGTTGTATTTTCTTTTAATCTTAGTGTTTTTAAACTAGTGTTAATTTATTTTAAGTTATTGTAGTTTAATATTTGCATTGAATGAAGTTTTGTTTTCAATTTTTCATCATTTTTTTTAATTATATAATTATTATGAATTTATTATTATAAATAATAATCAAATTAACATAAATATAAATTAAAAAAATAAAATAACAATCATAAAGAAATAAAATAAGTTTTGTAGTAGATGAATAGTGTCCCACCAAATTGGTATGAATGAATAGTGTTACACTAAATTTGGTGTGATACTATTCATTTACACCAATTTGGTGTGGCTTTTGGTTTTGGGTTGAAGCAAAATTTTTACACTTTACACCAAAATGGTGTTGGGTTTGAGATGCCCTTGCACAGCAAAAATCATGCATATAATTAGGAGTTCTTCTCCTTGCCCTTTTAACATATGAAAAATACTAGATATACAAAGACTCCTACAAAAAGTCTTTATACAAAATAATGTGGCAGTTGTCACACCACTAGTTTGTGAAAAGAAAGAGAAGATTGATGTGAAATTAGTGATATGATAGCTGCCACATCACTTTGTAAAAAATCTGTTACAAAGAGTATTTGTACCTCTAGCATTTCTCTTAAAATAATGTTATATGTACTAACCAAATTGTACTAATCCAAGTACTATCGATTGAAATTTATTTTTTTTAGTTTTTTAAGAAAACCGACATGACAATAAAAGAAATATACCACGTAATTAACATTTGAATTGTATGATTTTTGGTTAACGCACATAACATTATTCTTTCCCTTACCACACACACCACACATATGAAAAAACAAGAAACAAAAACAGGAGTGGAGATCAATTAGCGCGCAACCAACAGCCACCCCCACCCCCACCCCCTCTCTCTAATAATGTCTGATGTCCGTATTAATGGTAAGGATCTTTCATAGATACGGTTTGTAAGATAGAGCTGGCACATTTTCTCCCTTTAACCCGGCACTAATAAAGCTAGACTGATAGTCTCAGTATACTCTGATAATGCATTCTCATTGACCATCCATTCATATTTTGAAAAGTCTCAGGAGCCTCGACCCTCTCCTGAGCTTCCATCGCCGGTCTTTATATTATAGACAATGACAGGCACTGCCATTGTCACATAATTTTACTTCACTCTTTCTTGTACGAAAAAATCTGATTGAAATTTCGTCTTTATGAAAATATACTGTTGGTAAACATCTGCAACGAAACTAAATTATATGTAACTTAATTAAATTAAAATATTTACATAGACCCACACGGATTTTTTAATGGATTTGCAGAGACGTACAATGATTAAAACATGGAACCATGCAGATCGTGGGTCAATTGGAAAATGAAGAAAAATGATGCCAAAATGGGCAGTACCACACATAGACAAGAAAGTTAATGCTCTGAAAGTATGAGATGGTGCTGCTGGGCTCAATATATGAATTTCCTCAATCATCACAGCTAAGCTGGATTAGAATTTTGCAATTTTTTATCAAAGCATATTCTTCACAACATTTTCCTGCAGCTGCTACATCTAGCATGCATGTTGAATATCTTGTCGTATATTTTTATTGATCATGATGATGGTCCACCGAGTTGAAGGATATGATTGACATATAAGGTTCCTTCAAAGAGACGATTGATAATAATCCAGAAATCATTTCATTTTCAAAGGTTTCTGCATGTAGCAGCAGAACTATATCGATAAATTATGATAGGAAAATTCCAAAGTAAAGTTTTACTGGCTTGTGAGCCAATTGTGAAAGAGTGTTTCAACCGGATCTCATCAATCTTTATGAAGATTGGGTCCATATGGTCTCTAAATGCTTACTGTAAAAAACCAGTGTTTTAAAACCCGACCTGGCCCTGCCGGTTGAATTGGTTCAACCGAGACTCGGGGCTTTCACCAAGTCAGATTATCCATTTCACTATTTACCGAAAACCCAAGAAATTGAGATGATGATCAACGAATAATTAAAGACTGATGTGTTGGGGGTTTTGAAGAGAAAGTGCCGATGAGTGCAATGGTGGCAACGAAGTTGATTTCCAGTGAATGAATCGACTAGAAATTGAAAAAAAATAAGCGACGACAACAACCGACTTTTGCTAGCGATTGACGAGGCTAACGGGGGTGAGATGAGGTGGGTTTTTCATTATGAGGCTGAAGGGAGTATTTTTGTGGTGATGGAGAGGGTTGGCGACGCCGACAATGGTGAGATCTGAACTGGAATGTCGACGCCAGCATCGATGAGATTTCGGCCAGATATTGGGTAAATTCTCTGGGAAATGAGTTCAAGTGATGATTGAGAATTTGAGATTGCATTTAGTGTGTCACCGATGTCAACCAATAATTGCCGATTTGTATTTGGGGTGTGAATTGACTGGAAATTGAAAAAAATAGGCAACGGCAACAACCGACTTTTGCTAGTGATTGGTGAGACTAACGGGGGTGAGGTGAGGTGAGGTGGGTTTTCGTTATGAGGCTGAGAGGAGTATTTTTTTGGTGTTGGAGAGGGTTGACGACGCCGATAGTGATGAGATCTGAACTGGAATGTCGACGCCAGCATCGATGAGATTTCTGCCAGATATTGGGTAAATTCTTTGGGAAATTGGCTCAAGGGATGATTTGGATTGTATTTAGTGTGTCACCGACGTCAACCAATAATCGTCGATTTGTATTTGGGGTGTGTTTGCTAAATTTCAAACATAGGGACTTAACTTAATTTTCAAGGGTGTATTTGCTAAATTTAAAAAATTTTATCACTCGATTTGACCGGCTGGTCAAACTAGTTAAAACAGTCAACCCAAGACCCAACAACTTTATCTGAGTTTCACCTTGGGTTGATTATTAAAACATTGTAAAAAACATGAAGTTCGTAGAAACCATGGAAAATTATTTTAGAACTTTGGCAAGGAAAAGTCTCGCAAGGATACCGGGGTAAGTTTGAAGAATTTAAATATTCTTATAGCCATGTAATTCGATAAAACAATAATTTAGGAACTAAGGCACATGTTCATTGAAAATAAATTGAGGTTTATGGAACAGATCTTCCCAATGAACAAAAGAAAGGAAATTATAGCATATATAAATAAATGGCTCAAACATTAGCTGATTAGCTGCAAAATAGATTAACTAAAGACACTCCCTTTTTATGGTTATTTTATTTGAGCATAAGCATATAACATAAAATCAGTCATTGGGATAACAATATAGTAGCTGCAACTATGTGTTGAAATTAAAAAAAAAATAAAAAAAAAATTCATTGAAATATAACTGAGATGGATCAGGGCGTCAAGTGAATAATTTCAACCATTATGAGAATTACATGACAAACTAGAAGAACTCAAATGCATTTTAGTCTATTTCGATTTCCATGGATTATCTCCATAGTAATAAGCAGTGCCTACCATGAGGGCCACCGTAGCACCTTGGACAACCACTCTAGCTCTCATTAACTTCTGACCCAGGTGAGAATTGCCTCTTCTGAAACTAATTAAGCCAGCTGTGAGCACTCCTGCTGTCATAAGTGCACCTGTGATACATACATCAAACAAAGGTGAAACTGAATACAGAGCACTACTCTAAAACTAAAAGAGCACAATTCACAGTCTTGTCTCTTGTCTTAGTTGAAATGAAAGTATAATATTTAACCTAGTTTAGACAGCTTAACCATCAACACTTGCAATGCAACCCAACATGAAACTCAAATGCTTATAACTAGGAGTTAAACATGATATAACCTATCAATCTAACAAGATTCAGCTCTGGGGCATCAACTCAGATGATAAATGGCAAGGTAGGGTGGATTTGAGAATATTTCAGCTTCAAAGTCTTACTAATCAAAACATTACAAGTAACAAGGGAAAAAAATGGGATTATAGTACAAACCTAACAAGATCTTCAAGAGCAATCTAAAGGGGCAACTAAAACAGCACACCAAGACTAATAGATAAAGGAAACAACCTTAGTGACTGAAAGACTTGAACAGATAAAAAACTATGAAGCACATTATACAGAATAAAACATCTAGACCTTCTAACAGTCAAGTTAAAAAAAGTCGAAGGATCCAAATAGGTTAGGTTCAAGTAAGTTTGTCTTAAATTTAACCGGGAGTACACACATGGAGTCTATTCAAGGTTCCGACAGAACAATTATTATTATTCATAGCCTATCTAGCTGAAGTCTTCTATCTTGGAAGAAACTCCATAATCAACTCAGAATACTTGGTACCACAAAAAGACTGTTTGCTGCCAACCACTAATCATACAACCAAATATGTGCCAGCTGAGGGATCCAAAACTCCATGTATAAGTGATCCCCTCTCGCCAAAAATTGTTACATCCTGTAACCAGTATTCCCACTAAAATTTTCATTGCCTTCTCCAAGAAGCATGAAAGTGGAAATTTCATCTTTCACAAACCAGTAACCGAATGCCTATAGCATCAACACAACATGATATTCTAAGAATTCATCTCATCTAAGTTGTAGTGGATTCTTTTTGGAGAAAAAAATAATTAAAATTTTAAAATGCACATGATCCAATTTACGCAGTATAAACCGATCCAGTTTCCATAACCAATGTACATGAAAAAAGACAATTGATGCATAAAAAGCTTTTCTTTTATTATTGATCGGTGCTTGAGGAGCATAATCATTCCTACGAATTCTAAAACTGGCGAAGTTGTGTATTGTCTTCAAAACCATCTATTTAACCTCTAAATGAAATAATAGATGTGTTTACTAAAGCTGTAGTAAGGCTAGTTCTCCTTAACATGAAGAAAATTTGTACAAAACAATATGGATAGAATCCCAAATCCATTCACAAAATTTGCAGATAATCTTTAAAAAAAAATCCACTTTGACATCAAATTTCGATTAACAAAATATTAGATATTCAAACAATGGAAATTTTAAATAAAAAGAAAAGGTGAGACGGTAATGAAAAATATACCAACAGGAACAAGAGGGTTCCTGACTCGCTTCTTCTCCTCATATAAGTCCTCGAAACTGGGTTCCACAGCAACCATCTTCTCCGTCATCTGATTACGAGTTATTGAATGTCGGGGTTCAGCCCGGATTTGCTCCTCCCCGTTTAGTTGGTGGGCTTCTTGTTGTGGATTCCAATTTGGAATCGAGCTGTGTAAGTAAATATATATATAATGTTTTATTTTAACTGTTACAAATTAATTAAAAAAATTTCAAGTTGATATTACGTGGATAAATAAGGTCCATGGAGGTCTAAAACGGAGGTTTGAATTTTGGGGAACAAACATTGACCTCCCTCAGACTTCTGAAACAATCAAAGACACCCCCAAATTCCTCACTTTGTGTGAACATGAAAACTTATCCTAATATGAGTTCATGAATATTCTGACATTACATTTCTACCATTTATACCTGAAAGCTTAAAATAACTTATGTGGTTCATAAAACTTTAAGAAATTTATGCGTTTTTTTGAGTAAACTCCCATGGTTTTCGGGGAATATGATATCACCTAACAGTTTCCCAAATGCCACCATAGCCCCCGTTCCAGTGGAAATGACGATTTTATCCTTCTCACTAATATACTTTTAGCAAAAACTTACATTAAAGGACACAAATATTAGAACAGACAATGAGAGGACACTTAACAATGTAAAACTACTTTAATTGAAATTTTTTAAATGACTGTGAGTGATTTTATTGTTTAAAAAAAAAATTAAAATAGAGATAAAACAATATATACATCATTGAAAATTTTTAAAAATTAAAAAATAAAGCAATATCTATTAAAAAAATTAAAACTAAAACAAATTTCCTCAGTTTTCTATTTTTTATTTTTTCTACTAATATGTCCTCATTATTTTTATTTTTATTTTTATTTTCTTATTGATTTTTTTTTTTTCAAATTATTGTAATTTTAAAAAGCTTAGTTTATATGAAACCATATTACACATAAAATTACTTTTATACCCTTAATCCTATAGCTACAAATTTATTATAGAAGTGTCCTCGATTGATAAGATAAAAATCCGTTTGATAAGAATCCGATGGTTCCAGATTTACTGAGCATGGTGGGAAGTCACTATCCAGCCAATAAGAAATGAAGGTTGAACAAAATATTTTGGCTCCATGCTTATAACATGTAAAACACTATCCTCAAAAACTGTTTGGTGGTTTTCCATGAAATCAGAAAATCATCCAATCCAATAGTCGAAGGTCACTGTTCAGTGTGGTGAGAATAATATAATACTTTCGATAGTGAATTTTGCAGATCAATTTTTCCTCAACATCTAGCAAGAGGGAAAGAGTGATGGGAGTGAAGTCATTTGTGGTCAAATTGCTGCCATTTGCAGCGATGGTGGCTGTTGAGACCTTTGATGTTGGTCTAACAACACTCAACAAAGCAGCCATGTCCAAAGGCTTGAGTCATTTCGTCTTTGTTGTCTATGCAAATGTTATTGCTTCTCTCATCCTCCTCCCCTCTTATTTTATCATATTCAGGTAGCTAATTTCCATCTTCTTCTTATTATTATTTGATAATCAATAATACCCGGATTTATATTTTGTTTTATCTTTATGTGTAGGAGAAAGGGACCTCCACTAACTTTTTCTTTCCTATGTAAAGTCTTCCTCCTCAGCCTTGTGGGGTATGTATTTGCATTCAAGTGGTTGATTGTAGAAAAGGTGGAAGGATCTGAATTTGATTGTGCTCTGCGCGTTTTGTAGGATTACTCTGATGCAGAATTGTGTGAGCACTGGTATCAACTACAGCTCTCCTACTCTTGGTTCTGCAATGGGCAACTTAATTCCAGCTTTCACTTTCTTGCTTGCTGCTCTCTTCAGGTTCATTCTTTTCTCTTTTTATCTCATTGAAGAAAAATGCAAAAGTTCTTGCTTTTTAGTTAACTTGAAATTGAGAAATGAAGATAAAATGAATGCAAATAAATATATGTGTGTGCGGATTAGAACTGTTTCTGTGCTCCAAAGGCGAAAGTTTTGGTTTTACTGAATCCAAAGAACTAAGATGAGCGATGGATCCTTTTTATATTAGGGAATATCTCAAATTCTTTTGAGAAGATTAAAGAAGTATGATGGACAGACTTGGGGTAGCGGTTGTAAAGATTTTTGCCATTTGACCTTTTTTCTTTTTTCTTGTTTTGGGTTGGTTCAAGGATGGAAAAGTTGAATTTGAGAAGTTTAATAAGCCAAGTGAAAATTTTGGGCACTTTGGTATCAATCTCTGGAGCATTGATTGTAATCCTTTACAAAGGTCCTGCAATAGGCGCTGTGCCTCAACCGCATTCATCTTCCTTACCTGCTGAGACTGCAACAAATGATTGGGTCATTGGGGGCATTTTCCTTGCAACTGCTAGTTTATCAATTGCTATATTGAACGTTTCTCAGGCAAGAGGCAATTTCATGCCATGACTAGAAAGTTGTGTATTTCTTCACTAATTCATAATCTTAGAGAAAGTGGAAGTAATATCTGTTCATTCTATATTTGAAGGCAGCAATTCTTAAAGGATATCCATCAGAGATGACTTTAGTCACCTTCTACTGCTTCTTTGGCACCATTCAGTGTACAATAGTTTCATTGATTGCAGAGAGAAACCCGAATGCATGGAAAATTAGGCCTGATATCGAGCTCATCTCTGTCGTATACGCAGTAAGAATACAATATTATTCTTGACCACTTCTTTAACTTGCATCTTTAATCCTCCAAAAAATCAGTAACCTGTTGGCTCTCATTTTCTTTTAAAGGCGGTGTTTGGGAATGTGGTGACATATGGTGTAGTTGCCTGGTGCATAAGAAGAAAAGGACCTGTGTTTGTTGCCATGTTCAAGCCTGTGGGGATTTCTATTGCTGCCTTTATGGGTGCCATCTTCCTTGGTGACACTCTCCATATTGGAAGGTAACAATCTCTTTGCTTACAAAATACTGCTTCCTGCACCTCAAAACAGCTATAGAAGAAGAAATCCAACACCTTCAAAAGGTGAAATATTTTAATAACCTTGAAAGCACTCGTTGTGCAGTGTTATAGGAGCAATTGTAATTGTTGTGGGTTTCTACGGTGTGATATGGGCACAGTCCAAAGAAGAAGAGAGTAAAAGTGAAGTGTGCAAAAATGACAGACCACAGGTATCTTCGCAAAAGACACCTCTCTTAGATAGCTACATAAATGTGTAAACCAATGTAGTTAGTTTGTGCAGTTAATCTTTTATTTGGGAAAGGAAAGCATGAGCAGCTTGCTCGCAAGTTAACCTTGATTTGTGCATACGGTTCAAACTATTTTGAGTTAACAGCATAAGTTCATTTCTGATCCATGCATGGGTTAAACAGATTGTGAGTATCAGAAATTCAACTAGTCAAGTCAAATATATGAAACGTATTCTAGCATCTTATCTATGCTAAATCTTATTGTCTCCTCCCCAAATTCGGGAGTGCGGAAGTTGAAAGCCCTTGGCTATGATAAGCTTCAAGTTGATGAAAGATGTCATATTCTTTCCCATGATTGGTAAAAAATCATCCTGTTAGGATATGAGAAGTTCTCAAACATTTCGGTTGCATTCATTTTTACCAACAAACATTGAATAGTCTATCAATATTACACATTGCTGAGCTATCTCCAAAAATCATATATGAACAAAAGAAGCTATACGTTTTTACAACCTGTGTGTTTTCTCTACTAGTGGTGAGCAAAAAAGGTTATCAATTATCAGAGAGCTGTACCCTCACTCTCGTGTTGTCTGAGACCCCCCAAGGCTTAATAGGATAACATCTAAGCAATTTCTGATGCTTGGCTAGCAAGTCCACCCCGCGGGAGTTGATTTTTTTTTTCAAGATCTAGCAGGAAAGAAAAATTGCAGTGATTGTTGTTAAATGTGAAATTCGTTGAACCTAAATTATGATCCAAATTCACTTCTTGATATCATCAGACATTGCTGAAGGTATGCAATGGGTTGTAAGAATATCCAGGATTGCTGCTTTTGCAGTCTTCGTACGGGGGACCACTATCTGCATAGAACAACTTCTTGTATCTCTATATGAGTAGCAACATGTCTATGAATCCTCAACATATGCATATCCACATTTGCAGATATGCATAAGAAAAAATCCACTTCGACATCAAACTTCGACTAACAAAAGATTAGAAATACAAACAAGGGAAAAATTAAATAAAAAGAAAAATGAGATAGTAATGAAAAATATACCTACAGGAACAAGAGGGTAAGGGTTCCTGATTCGCTTTCTCCTCCAATAAGTCCTCGAGACTGGTTCCACCCAACCATCTGCTCTGTTTATCTAATTAAGAGGTTATTAAATGTCAGCGTTCGGCTTGGATTAGCTCCAATTTGGAATCGAGTTGTGTAATTATACAATAACAGTAATGTTAGGTCCACGACTCAATCTCATAACTTTTTCTCACAACCCCCGATGTGGCAACTCGTAAATGGGCAGGTGAGATCTATTTGCGAGCTAATTAATTGCAAACTGCTACGTTAAGGGTTGTGAGAGAAGGTTGTGGGATTGAGTTGTGGACCTAGCATTACTCATACAATAATGTTAGGTGATCCTTCTTGTTGGTTGCAAGGTTCATGTTGTCACATTTGAGGGGCAATGTTACTTTATGCCCAGGGGATCTAGCGAGACCTTGTCTGTCATGACTCGTGATATAGCGGTGGCTAAAGTTGTTTGTACACTTTACTTTTATAGAGGTGTCATTAACTGTTTCAAAAACATGGGGAGGTTATTTAACTTTAATGGATATCTAGGGGGTGCCATTGTTCTTTTCCCAAAATTTAGGATTTAAAGTTACTATCCAAGGAAATTGATAAAACTTACTAGATTAGTCACATTTTGAGGGAGTTTTATGTAATTACCAAGTTTCAAGCTCAAAACTTTATTAGGCATACTTGATTCAATTCAAGATCTCAACTTAAAAAGGTAGAGATCCTTTCATTTTGAAACTTTTTGGAAAGTTGAATGCTGTTTATAGTTTGAGAAGTAAAGAAAAGTGAAGGTTTCGCTTGAATGCGTAGGAGTTTAAAGATAGGAGTATTTTGGCATTAAAATTAAATGGTGACTAATAAGGTTTAAGTTTGAAAAGTGGGTTAATTATGTAAAACCCCTTCAAAATGTGGCTGATTACATCAATTTTTCCTTTTATTCATAATACATAATTAATTTAAGGGCTTCTAAATTAATAACTAAAAACAATTTCTTATTTATATTAAATAAGTAGATAAACAATAAATAAAAAAAATAAAAAAAATTCTTATTCATAATTAAGATAAAAATGGAAATTATGGAATCCACCATTTGATTGGTAAATATCAAATATATATTTTGTTCTTCCACATTGACCTGTTGTCCTTGTGTAAAGAGTAAACAAATATGGTGGGAAGTAGAGCCGGTGGTGTAAAACCCCTCTCCAGTCAGGTATCCTCTGAATATCCCTCAATGAGAATTTGAAGGATACATGTCTGAAGAATAAGTTGTATTTAGAAAAACTTATGTAAGGATAATAATAATAATATTCAAAACATTCATATAAGATGTCACACAGGATCCAAACTTATAATTTCAAAAACTTTAAGAATTTATCTAGAAATTACACATTCAAAACATATTTATAGGGTGGAAGCTTCCAAATGTGTTTCACAAACATTTATCATTTACATTATTTACATCAAGATAAAAACATCAAGATGACAATAAATCATCTCCCCTCACGTGTAGCCCCATTGTCTCTAGCATCCTTCATTTCTGGTCTACCTGCAAAGTAATTAACAATGAAAGGGTGAGCGCTAATCGCTCAATAAGGAATGGTCTATTTCATTCTAAATGTGCTACTTGACCTTCATTTAAACATATTTGTTAACACACCACTTATCTTTTACATCTAGGTATACTTCCATTTTTTTTTTACTAATTCATATGCTTTTCATCATTTTATTCCGTGGTTATATAAACATCAATGCGTACACATACAAATAAGTATGTAAACATAGTAAACACACATTACATGTCATGATATAACATCTAAATATCATCTAACATGAGTATAAATCATCTCATGATATAAATAACATCATAACTCATGTAATGCAACTAAATGCATATGAAGCCTTTAACGTCTAGTCGATCGGACTTTTCTTAGCGTCTTAAACACTTCATATCATCTAGCCTCAAATTCATCTAGAGCTCATAACATCAGGAGGCGTGCTTACGCTTTATTTAGCATCTAAAGCATATATTCATCTTTCCTCAACCGGTATACGAGGATATGCTTATGCATTTTCCATCATGTCTATATGCATCTCTAATATTTTATGGCATGTAAATACATATTTTAGTGAGCTTAATACTTTTAATTCACCTATGGATTATCAATCCATTTACATTAACTCTTGCTCACATTCATCATCTTAAAACATGTATTACATTGCATCTTCATGCAATTTCATAACATTAATCATGCATTGACATCATGACCATGTATATCTTTCAAAGATCATCTCACTAATGGGTAAAAATTAGCACATGGCTTAATCACATCAATATATAATCAATTCATAATCATAAGAATTAATTATGTTAAATCTTAAACTTTAATAACTAGAAGCTTATTCTTCAGGCCATTTTCCATCCATTTCCTAAATGAATTTGCTTTTGAAATAAACATAAAAGTTATAGGGCTATGTCTTAATTTCTAGTGCTTCAAGAATCATATCATTTAGATTTCTATAACTTAAGTTATGATGGAAATACTGAAGCTTGTTTAACATAACCCCTAAACTTACCAAATCCGAATTTTTCATATTAAATTATGCCACATCAATTCATATTGACAATTAACCAATAGATTAACTTATAGATCAAATAAACCTCCCTTTAATAGTCTTTAACATCTTAAAGGAAGTGTAAAATCTCATTCTCATAATCATCCATTATTGCTATAACATTGTAAGCTAATACAAACAACACATCAACATTTCTGATAGCAATCATTCAACATCATGTGGCCTCCAATACTACAAGTTTTGCCACAATCAATATCAATACTTCATTTTCTTCAATTAAACATAACAACTCATAAAACATAAATGGCAATAACATCATGTATAATGAATTCAAGGCAATAAATAAAATTAATGAGTTTAACTACACTTGCTATCAACTAATTCTATGTCTTAAAGCCTTAATTTAAGGTTTCATTAAAATCTAAAAACTGTAGCATAATCCCTAAAGTCATGAGAGGTTCTTCCTTACCTTTCTAAAGAATTCCCCCACCAAATCCTTTGTCTTTATCTTCCTTTACACCTTAATCCTACATATATAATATTATACCTCAACATCTATCTCAAATCTTCAAATCACATCAAAACTAGGACAATTAATCCTTACCTTAGACCTTTCAATTTGAAGATCTAAGGCTCCTGTCTTGTTAACCTAGAAAAATTATGTAAAACTCCTTTAAAACTTAGAGAGCGAAAGCTTGTTTCATGGAATATTTGAGAGAAAATTGAAGAAATGTTGAAGAAAGGATATCTCTCTTGGGTTAAACGAATTTCCTCTCATTTATAAGAAAATATTTCATTAATTTTCTAAAATTATTGTATTGGCCCAAATATTTTAATTATATAACTCATAAGTCTTTAATTCTTCATATAAGGACATTTTGGTCATTTAGCACTAAACATAATTATTACTTAATTAATGTCATTAAATGCAATTAAGCCTACTCATCCTTGACTTTGTAATGCTTATCCATAGGCAAAATGACTATTTTGCCCCTAATACCCTTTTATGGATAATTGATTCATACCGCTCCAAATGAATTGACTATTTTGCCCCTAGTTAGATTTTATGATTTTTAACATAAAATTAACATCTAAAGGATTATTTTGAGTTGAGAACATACCTTTGACATCTTGGGTATTATAGGCAGTGGGCCGTGTCAACCCATGGCACAGCACGAAAAAAGCACGACACGACAAGGTACGGCACCAAAAAAAGCACAGCACGACATGGCCCACGATTATGCGGGCAATGCCATGGGCCTTAAAAAAGGCATGTGGGTCGGCACCGCACGACAGGTAAAAAAAAAAAAAAATACTAGTCTATATTTACAACTAAGATATATTTGAAGAATTTAAAAATTTAGAAATTAATAAAAATGAAGATGTATAATAATTTTTAATTTTTAATTCTAATTTCTAAGTTTGTATTTGTAATTTATAATTATACTTGTAAGTAATAAAAACTAAAAAGTGTTGAAATTCAATTAATATTTCAATGTCTCATTATTTTATTATATTTTATAGTGATTATATATTTTTTAATTAATATAAATACAAAATGTCACTGAATATAACATATAAAATATTTTTATAATAATTATTAATAATAAATCAAACTAACCATAATATTAAAATTAAATATTTTTACAAAGCACACGGGTCGACCCATGGCATGGCCTAAGGCATGGCACGATAGATAGCGGGTTATGCCGTGGGCCTTCAAATTTGGTGGGCCGACAAGGTACAAATTTTCACGGCATGCCCCACAGCACGACGGGCCTTGAATTTTTAGGTATGGCACGACTCACCGTCGACTTGAGTGGGAAGTCACCATCCAGCCAATAGGAATGGAAGGTTAAACAAAACATTTTGTGACTCCTCTGCTCATAATATCTCAAGAATAATGTTATGTTTACAACTGAGTCATACAATCAGGCAAAAAACATAGAACAAAGTAGTCATTTTACATAAATTTTGTAAATTTTTTGTCTGATTGTATGTTGTATGACTTAGATATAAACATAGCATTATTCATATCTCAAACACTATCTTTAAAAATTTCTCTTCGAGTAAACTACTTTTTCCCACCAAGATTTGCCTTAAT